TCTTTCATGGCTTGATTCCAATGTTCAAGTTTCATGGTCTCCTGGATTGAGGTAGGAAGTTTTGTGGCATCAATGGCAACAATAAAGCTTTTATGCTTATAAAAGAGATTGTTACTTCAAACATACTGAGAAATATGATATTTAGCACATGATCTTCTTTCCTTTTTCAATGCAATGGGTAAATCCTCAATAACACTTAACTCCTTATTGTTATCTTCAAGGATCCTCATGTCCAGATTATACTATTTTTCTAGCTCAAGACTCGAAGTGGGTTCTTTTCTTCTTTCATATTTTTTTGCCAAAAAAATGTTTCTTCTTCCTCACTATGGACTATGGTAGCTTCATGCTCATATCTTGGGCATCTTACAAAGGGAAACATGGTAATGAAGAAGGAGAGTTCATCCACTTCAAGTGTTTTCTCCCCTTGCTTGAAGTTGTGGACTGAAAAAAGGATTGTGTTTCATGAAAGGTGACATCGATGATGATAAAGACACGACGATTCTGAGGATGATAACATTTGTACCATTTTTTATTAGAAGGATACCCAATAAAGACACATTTAAGAGTTCTAAGATCTAACTTACTACAGTTAGAATGATGAGAGTAAACAAAAACAATACATCCAAAGACTTACTAGCTAGACTCGTTGTTAGGGGAAAAAAAGAATAAAAGACAACAAAGACTCTAAGGACTAATGTCATTTTACGAGTGGATAACTTGTTGATGTGATATGTGGCTGTTAACACAACTTCTCCTCGATAATATTTTGGAATAGACATTTGAAAAGAAAAGTTTTAGTTACTTCAATAAGATGTCGATTCTTTCTTTCTGCAACCCTATTTTTTTAGGGGTGTTTACACATGTTAGTTCATTAACAATATCACTGAGACAAAAAAATTGAAAGATTCACGATTCATATATTTAGTTCCATTATCAAACCTGATTCTTTTGATATTTTTTCCAAATTGATTTTGAATGAGATGGAAAAAATTAACAAAGATTTGGAAAATATCATATTTATTTTTCATAAGGTAGGTCCACGTGACACGTGTACAATTGGCAATAAAGGTAACAAATCATTTGGCTCCGAAAATAGATTCTACAACAGGTCCTCAAAAGTTAGAGTGAATTAAATCAAATGGAGAAGTACTCTTTTTATTACTAATAGGATAAGATGCACGATGGTGTTTTGACAAGTGAAAAATATCACATGAAAAGACTCAACAGACTCCTAGGTAAACAAATGAGGAAATAAAGACTTGATAAGATTGAATTAAGGATGCCCAAGCCTTTTATTATGTAACCATATTTGAGAATTTACCTACGTCTTAGATCTAACTTGTTGACTCATGATTTTTGTTTTGCTTTGGTCATTAAACTTCAACAGATACAACCCATTTTTCTTCTTAGCAGTTAAAATCGTCTTCCCCGTGGTAAAGTCATGAAAAACACAATAAGTTGAGAAAAATTTTACTGAAAAATTTAAATCCTTTGAGTTTTTTCACAGAAATAAGACTGTTGGTTAATTGTGGAACATGTAAAACATCCTTTAATACAATAGATAAGTCCAAAATTATATTTCCAAAGTCGCATATAGGTATACCATGTCCATTTGCAACTGTAATAAGTTGTTCTCTATTTGTTTTATCATATGAGTCGAAGCACACACGAAAAGGTGTCATATGATCAATTGCTCCTAAATCAAGAATCCAAATACCTTGAGACACATGACCAACAATATTGAGTAAATCTTATTTTTCATGGACAGAGTACATGATCCAGAGGGCTTACTCATTGATCCAACCATTGCTTTCAAGCGCTCGAGTTCCTCCTTATAAGCTTTCATATCAAGAGTTATAAATGATAGGATATTGGACAACGACGACGGTGGGTATTGTTGCAACGAAAACGGAGCTCCCAAGATCGGGAGCTCTAACACTAACTTGAGAAAGANATCTTACTACCTTCTTGTCTATTGGCTTATCAATAATCTTCCAAGTTGAATTTCTTTTTAATGAATTCATCACTTCTTTCATGGCTTGATTCCAATGTTCAAGTTTCATGGTCTCCTGGATTGAGGTAGGAAGTTTTGTGGCATCAATGGCAACAATAAAGCTTTTATGCTTATAAAAGAGATTGTTACTTCAAACATACTGAGAAATATGATATTTAGCACATGATCTTCTTTCCTTTTTCAATGCAATGGGTAAATCCTCAATAACACTTAACTCCTTATTGTTATCTTCAAGGATCCTCATGTCCAGATTATACTATTTTTCTAGCTCAAGACTCGAAGTGGGTTCTTTTCTTCTTTCATATTTTTTTGCCAAAAAAATGTTTCTTCTTCCTCACTATGGACTATGGTAGCTTCATGCTCATATCTTGGGCATCTTACAAAGGGAAACATGGTAATGAAGAAGGAGAGTTCATCCACTTCAAGTGTTTTCTCCCCTTGCTTGAAGTTGTGGACTGAAAAAAGGATTGTGTTTCATGAAAGGTGACATCGATGATGATAAAGACACGACGATTCTGAGGATGATAACATTTGTACCATTTTTTATTAGAAGGATACCCAATAAAGACACATTTAAGAGTTCTAAGATCTAACTTACTACAGTTAGAATGATGAGAGTAAACAAAAACAATACATCCAAAGACTTACTAGCTAGACTCGTTGTTAGGGGAAAAAAAGAATAAAAGACAACAAAGACTCTAAGGACTAATGTCATTTTACGAGTGGATAACTTGTTGATGTGATATGTGGCTGTTAACACAACTTCTCCTCGATAATATTTTGGAATAGACATTTGAAAAGAAAAGTTTTAGTTACTTCAATAAGATGTCGATTCTTTCTTTCTGCAACCCTATTTTTTTAGGGGTGTTTACACATGTTAGTTCATTAACAATATCACTGAGACAAAAAAATTGAAAGATTCACGATTCATATATTTAGTTCCATTATCAAACCTGATTCTTTTGATATTTTTTCCAAATTGATTTTGAATGAGATGGAAAAAATTAACAAAGATTTGGAAAATATCATATTTATTTTTCATAAGGTAGGTCCACGTGACACGTGTACAATTGGCAATAAAGGTAACAAATCATTTGGCTCCGAAAATAGATTCTACAACAGGTCCTCAAAAGTTAGAGTGAATTAAATCAAATGGAGAAGTACTCTTTTTATTACTAATAGGATAAGATGCACGATGGTGTTTTGACAAGTGAAAAATATCACATGAAAAGACTCAACAGACTCCTAGGTAAACAAATGAGGAAATAAAGACTTGATAAGATTGAATTAAGGATGCCCAAGCCTTTTATTATGTAACCATATTTGAGAATTTACCTACGTCTTAGATCTAACTTGTTGACTCATGATTTTTGTTTTGCTTTGGTCATTAAACTTCAACAGATACAACCCATTTTTCTTCTTAGCAGTTAAAATCGTCTTCCCCGTGGTAAAGTCATGAAAAACACAATAAGTTGAGAAAAATTTTACTGAAAAATTTAAATCCTTTGAGTTTTTTCACAGAAATAAGACTGTTGGTTAATTGTGGAACATGTAAAACATCCTTTAATACAATAGATAAGTCCAAAATTATATTTCCAAAGTCGCATATAGGTATACCATGTCCATTTGCAACTGTAATAAGTTGTTCTCTATTTGTTTTATCATATGAGTCGAAGCACACACGAAAAGGTGTCATATGATCAATTGCTCCTAAATCAAGAATCCAAATACCTTGAGACACATGACCAACAATATTGAGTAAATCTTATTTTTCATGGACAGAGTACATGATCCAGAGGGCTTACTCATTGATCCAACCATTGCTTTCAAGCGCTCGAGTTCCTCCTTATAAGCTTTCATATCAAGAGTTATAAATGATAGGATATTGGACAACGACGACGGTGGGTATTGTTGCAACGAAAACGGAGCTCCCAAGATCGGGAGCTCTAACACTAACTTGAGAAAGAATGACTTTATTATTTTCATTCATATCAATTACATTCTCCTTACCTCTATTTCTAGCAATCTAATCTTCTAAAAAAGGAAAATAAGGAAACAATATACTAAAAAGTAATCTAAAAGATCCTACAAATATTTTCTTTAATTAGGAAGATTATATAGATATTTTTTCTAAGTAAGAAGATTCTGTAGATATTTTCTCTAATTACAACGCTTCTGAATATTCTTCATCCTTCAATCCAAGGTGTCTTCTCCCACACATCTAGGTAGTCCAAGATGTATCCCAGATGTATCAAGAATTGATGTCTTCAATATTCGAGATTAAGGATGTCTACAAAGACAATATGGTGCTCAAGTTTGCATTAGACAATAATAAATTGTAGAATAAATATGCAATATTTACCTTGTAAATTTTGTATTTATAGTGATTTCATGAGTTTCTCCCTAGTTGGATATAAACTATCTAGTCAGTTACCTTTCTTAAGTTGTTTTTCTTAAGTTGCTTTTCTTAAGTTGCTTAAGACTTTGCTAATTTGTGTTGTGTTTTAACTTCCTTATCGTTTGATCGTCGTTTGCTCTACTTACTACTATGATTTTGTCTTAGATCATTAACTCACAATAGACGACATGATGCCACACTGTGTTGTCCAAGACGGTCATATATGGTACAGTTACAATGTATTGATAACATTAACAAAAATAAATAAATAATAGTATTCATGTCAATGTGATATCCATGGTATCAATGCTGAGGAAGACAATAATGGTAATAATACTAATGACACTTTAGAACAACTCACATTATTCAATGAATTGATAGATTCCATTGTTATCTTCGTACTGATTTTGAATAGAAAGGTTTTGAACAGAGAAAGAAACACGAGGATATCAACCACTACTTCCCTGTCCAATAGTTGTTTCCATATTAACTATTGCCTAAGAATAAAGTTTTAGCCACAGCCTCAAGCCAACTATTGTGTCATCTGAATGTGAAGAACAGTAGTAGGAGAACATAAGCACACTCATGAAGGGTCAAAGAAAATAGTACTATGTGTCAAATATGAACAGCTACAATACATATATTACAAATTATTAGTTACATGGAGGCAAATGGCACCAAAAATAGAAAGAAATGAATTGTATGTGTACAATATTTACAACTGTATATATACAAAAAACCATTGAGGGGACCAGAGGCATTTCAGCAGCTGATGTCGAAGTATTTTGGATTAGAAGGGAAATGATATTCCACATGTAACTGCACACAAAATAACTATTAGAGGAGACAGAGAAATGAGAAACTAGTACGTGTCAAACTTTCCATAACTGATGCTTAACAATGTTTGAAAGCGTATTAAAATAAAGTGCGATGTTCTTCAAGCTCAAGACTGTTAAATTAACATACATATAGTGAAGACATTGCAAGTCTTTAACAATTCATTAAGGTTGCACATTGTTAGCAGTCTCATGTTGAGTAGGATGAACAACTTAAACCTTGAGATTTTCTCACCTAATGGACTAGTTGAATTGAACTCTACCCTTGTACTTAAGCACTAACAATGATTAGAGTTATAAAGCAATATCTTAGTCATCGACTAAGATAAGGACAAAATACTAAGCCACTTGTGCAACTAATTGATCACTAGATATATAGTTTTACGGGGCTACAACACAAGCTCAAAACATAATTAAAAAAACAAGGTTTCTAATCCAAGATCAGAGGTTCAATTACCAGTTTACAATACATATAAATTACAATCATGCTAAAAAAGCCAAATTTGTGTCAAAATTAGGCCTTCTTTCTTCATCAAGTAAATGTGAAGCTTGTACTTTTTCTTGAGTCATTTAATTATTTTGCTCATCTTTTAGTTTTTGAGCTTTGAATTGTATTTTTCTTTCATTATACACAATACAATAACCAGCCCCGGTTGCAGTTAATCTGGATTTGAGTCCAAAATAGTCTCTTTAAATATGAAAGAGTAAAGTTGCGTACAATGATTCTCCTCCATACTAAGCCACTTCAATCAAATACATATTTGCATACCTTGCCCTCATCAGAATCTGAATGACGATGAGGAAACACTACCCTCATATCATCATACAAGTAGAAGCTTCTTTCAGGTTCAATGTCAACAATATTTCTCACTTCTGCAGAGAGAGTGTCAGATTTGCACTTATGAACAGACCTTGAACGTCTTTTAGGAAAAGGGCACATAAAGCGAAGGTGAAGAGCATAAAGCAAAATGCCTGTGTTAATAGCATTGTCAAGGACCATGGAAGAAACAAGTAAAAAATTGTCTTCATCAGTGAGGAATGTGATTGAACTAAAGAATTCTTTCTTACCAGCCTTTGAACATGTAAAACTATCAAACTCTCCGCATTTTGAGGTGAGAAGATCTTTATCTCCATGACTGGTGGCCATGATCATCGGAGGCTTGTCATCATCTCTAATATCATAATCTTTTTGGCTTTCCTTACCCATCATGGACTTCGATCCAGACGCAGTTAAAGTCACCTTTTGCCGCAAGAATGTCTACTTTAGAGGAATACAAGAAAGCTCATTACACATGGAATTTGTAAAAGTTTTGGTATATAGCAGTGTATTGGAAGGAATAGAAATAATTTTCGCATATTGTTCATATTTAAATACAACTTATAGTTCAAATTACTTTAACAAAAGCAGGCTCATGCCAATCCCAAAAAAGGGTTTTGCAGACTGACCATTCAAGGCATGATAAGGGCAGGTACAATTTAATTTATTAAATTAGTGTCCAAATAAAAACTTGCGAGTACACGGAAAAATTTATGCGATTACTTTCTGTTATACATCAAGCAATCATTGATTAACTGCTGTTGGAATAGAGATCAAACCAGCATAGGTCTTTAATGTTGAGGCCCTGGTATAAGGCAGTCTCCTTAAACCAAGTTGGTCCAATTGGCCACTATACTCCTTTTAACCCAGATTGTATCCAATAATTTGCATCACCGTTTTCATTATAATTAGGTTCAGTATTACTGAATTTGCTCCAATCGAATATTCTATCATTTATATATCAGTTTCTTTATAAAAGTACTTTTAAGATGTTAATATATATGAAGAAAATATGGTCTCTTACATCAATATTCCAAGATAATATATAATACATCTTTTTAATATGTTCAGGTTAAAAATTTTAATTAATACTGTCATGAACCAACTCTCCCAAAAAGCTTGACATAATGACTCTTACACGAGTCATTTGGGCGTAAAGTATGCACAACAATGTTATCCGTCCTGGTATTCAATCTTTATTAGGAAAACAAGGTGAAAGGATTGAAGAGGAGACCATTTGATCAGAGACTAGGATATACCATACATGAACCAAATATTTTAAGATGTTGGGTAAGAGTACATGAATAATCTTTGTTTTTCTTTTTTTATTTCTCTAACTACATCAAGTAAAACAAGCAAGTAAGAATTATATAACACGCAAATCGATGGCTTCCTGGAGACAAAAATTTGAATGTGATATATCCTACCTTGGTACCAGCTGGCATGTCACTCAAATCATAATTGCAGAAGAAGGTATGGATAGGTGTTCTCTCTGGATTGCTGAGAACCTGCGTTTGGGTAAGTCAGTTTGTCACAAACAATTTGGTACAACCATGTAGAATTCCACACGTTACATCTAGTTGTTTCCACACAGAACCATGGCTATGAAACTCATGTTAAACAAAGCCTCATTACTGATTTGCCATCATATATCACCCTTCCTTTGGAAATTATGATCCTAGCTTAGAAATCATGACCAAGTTAGAGTATAAACCTATATGGCTGAGAGTAAGAATTTAGTTTGGTTGTTAGTATTTAGGCAATGAATTGAGAAGGTAGATGATACTGACAATTAGCTACTAATCATGCATCCAGAATCAGACCAAGGTGGCCCTGACAATTGCAAAGTCACTTTCATTCTGAAATCAGTGATGACAGCATGCACAACATATTTGTTTTATCACACTGTTTCTTGGCGTATACAGCGTATAATAAAGCTTTCAAATTGATCATGTATCAGATGTGAATATAATTTAACATCAATCCAAGATTTGTGGTGCACTAGTGACAAACAGAAAGACTTCTAGCTAACACACTTGCCTCTACACACTGTGTCAAGTAATTACTTCTTTTAATATCCAAATTCAAAGATCTAACTGATGAGTGGTATGATCATATAATGCTACCATGTCATGTTTTATAACAGTATAAAAAATATTGAATAGATGATAGAGTATTCAAAATATTAAGTAATGCACGAAGTCCTCAACCTCTGAATTTCCATTTAAAATATTGAGTAATCAATTCAAAGAAAGAAGGCAAGGAATTTCGTTAACAACTACAAAGGTCTAATAGTGATTTACCAGTTGAATACGTCCTTTCATAGGTATACGTAAGCGGGGCTTTTCAGATCGTGATTCAGCCATGCTAAGGGTTCTCTGAAATTTGGCAACTCTAGCCTTGCTTGATAATAACTTTCCTAAAAGATTTATTGATGAATAATAAAGTAAGTACTTGTCACCATCGACGCTGGTTACAGCAAATGGTATTTTTTGTGATTGAGGTGAGAAATTGCCTCCAGTTACATTAAGCATGGCAAGAAAGCCTTCAATTTTCTGCAAAAACAAAACTCAACAATTAGATATAAAATAACAGAAAGGGCAGATAAATTGTGCCAACTTCATTAAGAAATTAACTCCTATTTCTGCGAATAATTCCAACCTGACAAACTTTCCCAGATAGTAGGCGACCAGATAGCAAAGATTCCTCAAATGAACCAACCAGGGACCTTCTAACTGGCAGTCTATTCACAGTTCCACATAATTTGGCATCCTGAGGAGGAAAGCTACCAGGATGAGTCCAACACTCTTTCAAATCTATTATGTTATCAGTAGTAAACAGGTCAGTCTTTTCCCGCATATTGTTGGAATTCAGCTTTGATTTACTTGGTATCTCCAGTGCAGATAAACTGCCTTCACAAGTTCTAGCAATTTGTTCAACATTTTTAAAAGTCAAATTGTCATCATCCACGATAATATCAATATTTCTGTATCCCCCCAAATTTTTATTTTTAGAAGATTCTTTACCCAGAGGAGACAAAAGGAAAGGAGTTGGTGTCTCTACATAAACATTAGGTACTGAAGATGATTTGAACTGCTTATAAGACCATGGTTTTGCATGTTCACAATGTGAATGGTGATGACTACTAGATACAATATGGTTCATATTAGAGTCATTGCTCGATGACATAGTAAATCCCTGAAAACAAGATGTAGAGCAGATCTTGGAGAGGATACGTTTGTTGTTTCCAATATGAACCTTCTTATACTCATGTGAAAGAACAGAATTATCATCACCAACCGAACGAAATTGATAAATACCACCATCAATGTCTATTGTGTCACCTTTAAAAGGATCCGTAAGCAGAATCCCGTTCAAAGGTGACAATAACCGCTTTCTGACTTGTGACTCAGAAGCTTCAGTTGCCTCACTGGTGACTTTAAACACAGTTGACGAAAATTCATTTCCATCATAACCATTAACACGAGGTGTTGATGCTCTTATTTGAAAACCTACTGTCCTAGGTATAGGTTTCTGCATAGTTTCCCTAGCATTAACAGATAACCTGCCAATTTGTTCTATGGGATCAACCTTTAACGTAGCATCTTTACACATACTTGAAATGTGTGATTCTTTTGAAAGCTCTGGAACATTTTTTCTTTCAGATTTAAGCACATCAGTGTGCATGCAATTACCCAGGTCTTCACATGCCAAAAAGTTCACCCTGTAGTTGCTTATGCTGGTTACTCTAGGCATAGTTTGCACAAATGTGCCTAGCGATGCTGCCACTTCCTCAGCCGTGCAGCCTGAACACAGCTGTGGCAACCCCATTTTTATTTTTCTGGCAGGGTTCTTCTAAAATTTTCCAAAACGACCCACTTCTTCAATTACTATCTCTCATCATCACCATCTTCTAAGTGTATTCATGTATCAGCATTGGTACAATTATGTTTCAACTGTATTCTAAAAAAACACAGCCAATTGATTCCCCCAACGAAAAGTTAAAATCTTATAGATCACACTTTACAGCGTCATCACACTAGGAGGCACTCTCCTGTAGAAATGAAGAAATTATTGGTAAGTTCCTGCAGATAACACAATGCATACACATGCACTCACCTTATCACATTTCTTACAACTTTCTTTTTCTAAGGTATTAAAATTGCTGAAGTTTAACCATAAATTAATCTCTGGAGAGAACAAGGAATACTCAAAACCCAATGATTCCCACTTTGCCCTTAAACCCAGACAACCAATCTTATAGCAAGGGGAAAAACCACTAGTCCACAAGTTTTATTTGCAAGATTTGGATTAAAAATTAATGTGAAGCACATAATTGTATTTATCCTTAAAACCACACACGAAAACACGGAATCCCCAAATGCAAGACCCTCACATGTTTCTCTAAGACATCAAGAGTTTAAAGTACCGAAACAAGGAGCTGTGGGGCATGATGAAAAGACTCGCCGCAGCGTGGGTTCAAATGACAATCAGATAATCCATACGTATGCTCACAATTCAATCTTGCTTCACAATTGACTAACGATGCCAATGAAATGAAGAAATTTTAGCAAACTCCACAACATTAAAGGACTAATATGTCTAAGATTTCCTTCTTCATCCTCCTTGAAGAGAGCTGTGTTGTTGAAGCAGGGAGGTATTAGCATGTCTCACGTTAAACGGGGTTGGGTGTTGAGTGTTAGGCGTTGGTGGATGACGATACGATACGGATTCATAGCCAGCGCTGGTAGAAGCAATCAATTTGTGGGGCAAGGCTTAGCCAGAATTTTCTGGCTGTCTGTTTTTGTACTTTGAAAACCACAACTTGCAAAAGGGAAACCTCAAGTTGGGTTTGTGAGTTTGAGTCAAGTTGCGGTTCTCTTTTTTTTTCTTTTTGTATAGCATCTCTGCCCGTGACATGTGTCGAACCATATCAACAAATGCAAGAGCATGTTTATATTTTTAGGACCATTTACCTTCGTACCAACCTACATTCTTTGATAAAAATATAGGCAGCTCTGTTTCTCATTATCGACTACATCCGCTGGCGTTACGTATTTAGCTTGGAAACGAACTTTATCCATTTGCTTATTATAACATGTTCATTTCCATTTCTCCATTTGGGATGTACCTATGCCTTTCATTTTCTTAGATGGATTAGTTGATTAGCTCTCATCAACCCCTCAAATCCAATTCTTATCCGGCACGTAAATAAAATTTATAAAATTTATAAAATTTCATGATAGGTAGTAGGTATTAATGAAAACTATATATATATATATGAATTAATTTTATGTTGAATATATACATAACATCATCTATAAATAAAGTAATATAGATTAAGTCTAAAATATAAATAAGAAATAATAATAAACTAACTAAAAATAAAAGATAACGATAATATATTTATTCTCTTACATGCAAATAGTATGTACTAAGCTTGTTATTAATATAATCAAATACTTAATAAAAATGTATTGTTACTAATATAAAATCAAATACTTAGTGAAAATATTTATTTCTGCATTCGAGTGACACTAAATTCTTAATAATTTGTGAAGACAACATAGAAGATGAAATATCAATCCAAGAAGATTCTCTTGAACAACAAATATGGAAGGTTACTCCATATAAATCTTTTCTTACAAATCGCTGATAACGAATGCATTGTTGATCCACCAAAAGTATAAATAAACAAACAAAAATCATCTTTTCCACAAGAGAATTAAATCATATATGGACGAGTCAAACCCAATCATGCCAAGGGAGGTTAGAAGAGACAATACAAGAAGAAGTCATGGATGAACACGAGAGAGAAACCTAAAAAATCCAAGATTCTCCAATCAAGGCACTTGAAAAAAGAAAAAGAACAACCTTGATGTTCTAAATAGTTGTCTGAGAGGAGACTTGACGTATGACAATGCATGACGAACTTGAAAGAGGAAAAAGAGCGACATCTACGCTTTGAATCGTTGTAAGACGTGCCACCATGCACAACGAAAAAGAGAACAGATCAACAAAATCAAAAGGCTCTAAAAGCACGTAAGAGTTTCGATGAATGCGTCATTAATGACACGATGGTCGCCTGACTGAGACTATCAAAATCATATGATCATCGATCGAAACTGGAACTCTGGTAGTGGTAGTAGTAGACAACATTGCAGCGATAGATGGCACCGCCATCGCAGTGATAGATATACTAGCTCTCTCACTACTCATACATTACTCAATGAAAAATAAATAAGTAAAATTTATGAAATGGTAAATCACGATCATTTTAACCATAGTTTTAGAAAAAGAATAAAAGAAGCAAAGTTTGACACTAGTAGAAAAGAAAAAAACTATAACTGTTTCGGTAAATTAAAATTAACTGGTAAGATAAGATTTTAGAAAAAATATGAAAACTTTAATTTAGTTCATATATGCACAATTTTTTTTCATTTTATATTATTTTGTTTCTTCTGAATACTTGTTAAAAATGAAATAGCATTTATTGACAAATTTATTTCATTTTATCTTATCTTCCTCTACTTAAGATACTTATGAAGAAACTTGTCTGCGCAGATCTTAACTAAATTAGGGAACATCTATAAATCAAAGCATCTATGGACGGAAATTTGAGTACTTGTTTAAAAATAATTTACAAGCTACGCTAAGTCGAAACATTTCGAAAGGACCTGAAGAAGTCCTCCCCAGAAACTGTACAACAGAGAATTTAATCCTCTAAATATACAAATGTAGGGATCCCCGTTGTAATGTTGATTATACAACAACTTTATGCCAGATGAAATACAAAAAGAAAAAATAGGAGCGACGCGAAAAAACAATTGAAAACCATAGCGATAAGCAAAAAAAATGTATGGTGGCCTAAATCATTGCTATCCTCACTCCAGGATGCCAAAATCAAAAGGAACTCATTATTTGCTCCTAAATAACAAATCCATAGAAAGTCCAACTGTTGATGGCTTGAATGGACGAATGAATTTCCATGATGACGCCATCTGGGACTCTTCTTTTTTGGCTTTCCTGCCTCTGTGATGTCCTGCACCAGCATGACTTCTAACGGGTCCAGAAGGTTTTGAATTAAATATCCCTGAGGAAAACGAGGTGTCGGGGCCAAGCGAAACTGGCCCTTTATTTGATGCATCCTGTAGATATCCAACTGCTCCATCTTGATGAGGAGGGGGAAATTTCTCACTCTTGCTTTTTGCATTTGCATGCGTTACAACTCTCCACCTCTGAAATTCAGTGAGAAACACATTTAATGGTGCTCAAGGGAGCATATAAGACACTAAGTGAAAAGCTCAATTTACCATGCTATCATCGAATCAAACAAAAGTTTCACAAAGTTCCATGTTCTCAAGGAATATAAAATATGATCACCAAAAACATTTTAAATGAAAGGGTAGACATGATCAAAGAATCCTAAGTAAGAAAATGCTTAAGAATCTACGACTCGATTGTTAAGTTCCAGACTGCATTACAAATTGTAAATATAACCAACCGCAAAAATCAAGGTTTCTTGAAAATATTATGTCAGCTTTAGTATGCAAAGTAAAAATAGAGGAAGCTCGGGCGTAAAAAAAGTCATTAATCCAAGAGTAGAGTACCTATGATATTTCAACTATTCACGGATGCGTACAACACACAAGCACGAACTTGGTATGAAGGAATAAAATATTAAAACAAACACAGCAAAACCAAGTGAGGCCAAGAGGATATCAAACACAACTACGCGTCTGACTTACATCTAAGTTTGTTTGGATCTCTGCATTTGCTTCAGGGGCAGGAACGGCCCGACCACGCTCGCGTGCTCTGCCTCTTTTGACACCATCAACTGTACTAGCTTTTCCACTTAGAGCCTTTTGCCTGAGGAAGAAACGAAAATCATAAGTGAAAAACTGGACCAAAACAGTTGAGAAGTTAATTATGAAACATGAGAAGAGCAGAAGGGAACCTTCTTGCTTCTTCATCTCTCAGCTTTACATCCAATTCTTTGCTGGGAGGATACTTTGGCAAACTCGATGGTTCACAAGCATAGGGCTCTGTGGTAAAGAACTGCAGATACAAAACATATGAAATTTATTACATCATGAATGCAAGGTTAATAAATATACAGTGATCACTCACTTCACTATTCAGTGCTCCTGAGGCAGTTCCACGGTCATCAGGATCTATTGCAAGAAGAGTTTCAATTAGAGGTAGAGAAGATGGACGAAAGTCTTTGAATGTTTCTGAGATGCAACTTTTATATGGCTGCTGAGGCTTAAAGATTGTAGCATTTGGCAATTTATACTTCCTCCAATATTCCTCGGACGGAGAGCCTCACAACTTAAATATTTTGTGGAGCTGTTCAACCTAACCCCAAGCAACTCAAAATTCAGTCATGAATCATCCTGAACATGCTCATTTCAAAAGCCATGAAAAAAAAGGATGTTGGGACACACAAAAAGATACAGACAGTGAAAGTGAAATAGGATGAATCAACTTCAAACATTAGTGCTATAATGTAAAGGGTACAATTTTCACACAGGATATAAACTAAATACTCTGTACTTTCAGATGATAAACTAAATTACTAAACGGTTCTCATTTTCTGATAGTTTCCCTTTCATTTAGCTTTTGTCTTTAAGATAGATTTTGCATTTTAGTTGATATTCTATATCTGCTCCATCAAGATGGTAGATTACTGCCATCACCAAACAAGCTAAAAGTTGATGACACTGTCAAACGCAAACCCTCTATCTTTCTCCAACTTGGGTGTGTCTAAGAGAACTTCCCAATAAATTTTCCAGTAAAGAAAGATGCTTCCTGTACACAAAGCCTCAAAAGCGACTCTGGGAAAGGAGCAAGATGGATTACAAACTACTGGTGGGTACTTAAAATATTTATAAACAGATTAGAAGCATCGCAATGAGTATACAAAAATCTGAAGTTTAGAGAACAGAACCTGTAAACAAGTTGAAGAGCAATACCTCTGTTCGGCCAGGCATTATTGGCTTTCCAGAAAGCAGCTCTGCCAAGATGCAGCCAGCACTCCAAAGGTCAATACCCACACCATATAATGTAGCTCCAAGAAGAAGCTCGGGAGGACGATACCAAAGGGTCACCACTCTACTTGTCATTGCCTGTTTTATCTTGGGATCAAAAAAAGTTGCCAGTCCAAAATCTGCAATTCTAAGGATTCCTTCATTGTCTATAAGCAGGTTGGAACCCTTGATATCACGGTGCAACACGCCTCGACTGTGGCAATGCTCAAGACCAGAGAGTAATTGCTTCATAAAGCATTTAACCTGTCATAGAGAATATACTGAGAGACAAATCAGCCTTTCAGTAAGAGTTTTCCTTTTGCTTTTTAATATGAATGAGTCTATCCTCCTCCTAGTTCGTCAGAAATTAAAAAAGAATCATTGCTTCATACAACTCCACCAAGTACTAAATGCGACAATCACCATGAATCCAGAATTACCCTTTAATGATTTAACATTCACATTGCAATAGTTAGCAACTTTAACTGTTAATTAACGCGCCTTATGTAACACCAAACCTTTGTTTTCCATTTAAACTAGGGGTAGACTTCAAATAAATATTATAATGTCTCCACAATAGCAAAATAATCAACCAGACCCTTCTCAACATGTACAAATTTAACGGTAGACTTGCTTTCTCATTGGATGGAAAGCAAAATTACTCCTAATTAAACAATACATTTACTTCATAGAGAGATATAATAAATGAATTTTCAAAAACACCGACATCAAAGAAGGGTGAAAACAAGAAAGCAAACATGCTTAAAATTGTACACGATACCCAACATCGCCTACAAAGCTCTAGGAGAAAGATAAAAACCCAACTTTTCCTTTTAAACCACAGAAAGGCCAAGCAAAAAGCCATGTCTCGAACAAAGCTCAAATCAAAATCTACAGTACCCAAGGTCTCAAACCCAGTTACATCTCCCATGCCCAATTTTTATGATAACAAAAGCACTCGCAAAAATTCATTTAACAAGTAGCACACGGCTGCTTAAAATTGTGGTACCTGAGGTTCAGTGAACTTGACCCCTTGTCCAGCCGCAAGCCCTGCGAGATCATGCTCCATATACTCAAACACTAAATATAAACTGCACGACATTCTAGAAGTAACCAAACCCTCAAGCTTCACCACATTGGGGTGATCAAGCCTCCTCAAAACAAGTATCTCTCTTGCCATGAACTTCACACTCTCCGGCTCCAAATTATCAAATCTCACTTTCTTCAATGCCACAATCTTCCCCGTAACAAGGTCCCTAGCCTTATACACGTTACTATAGGTCCCTTGTCCAATCTGAACAACACGATCATAGGAAACAACACAAAAAACAACATTTACTAAAATAGATCCATTTTTCATTTTTTTATTAACTAATAAAACAAAAAGAAAAATACTTCACGAAAAGAGAAAATTAAAAAGTAAGAGTTTCTAAAAACCTTAGCAAGCTTCTCGAAAGTGTTGGCTCGACGAGGAGTCCAATCGCCGATTGCTTCGCCGGCGACGGCCATCAACCACGACGGCCATCCCTGCTGCGTGACAGCGCACGGGTCGAGTATAGGTTTCCGGCGCTCCAGCGCCGGAAGAGTCCCCGGAAAATCGCCGGTATGCAGGTGCCTTTCCTTATCTCGAACCCTAACGGCATTATTAACTTCTCCGGTAGCAACTTCCCGCTGCTCCCTCCGGCGACGGCGCTGAACTCCGGCACGCGCCGGCGTCCCGAGCACGCAACCCATCCCTCACGCGAGGCAGCTTACGGCGGCGGCAGAACACGGAAAACGCATGGAATGAAGGAAAAAAAGCAAACAAAAAACTAAGCAACCGCAATCCTCGTGATGATTGGCGGCGAGCGACGGCGGTTTCTGTCAAGAGCGAAGAGGGAAACGGTGAAGAAGGTTTAAGCTGGGTTGAAGAGTTTTCCGTAGATGTATGTGTTGTTGCGAGTGTGATGAAGGAGAAGTGAATAGGGTGCAGGGGAAGGGGATTGATTGTGTGGAACGCATGCAGGTTGAATAAACGACACAGCGCGTGGGTAAATAACGGAAATGCCACTGCGTCTGAAAGTCTGAGCTGGTATTGTCAGTTAAATGGTGGCTATGGAAGGAAGAGGCAGAAAGTCCAAAACGACACATCTTTGTGACGTCACTTATTTGAGACCGAAAAGGTCAAGGAGCTGCCATAAAAGTAAAAGGGGAAGAAATTTTTGCCTTTCTGTTCCGTGGAAAACAAGTTCCGCTGTTATTATCTTTTTCATTTCACTATATTTTTTTTTTTGCAATTCTCATTATTTGACTTTCCGGTTGGGACCAGTTATTGCCAGGTTTGAATTGATCTGAATTCCCAATTCAGATTTTAGGTGCAATGATTTAATTGCTTTCAACCAATGTATGATGAAGTTATTGGCTTCAATTCAATTCTCAAATTGAAATTTTTTGTCAAATCTTCTGACAAATGAAGTTTACTTCCACCCACCCTGCCCAACATAATAAATTGTGCCCCTGCATTCATTACACCTAACCCAGAAACTATATTTAGAGTGAGAGTTCAAAACTTTTACATTTTAATATTTGGTCACCGGGTCAAGTGAAAGTTAAAATAAAATTATGAATTAGTCAATAAATGAAATAATAATAATAATAATAATAGTAATGGAATGTTAAAGCCATGTTTTGAAAGGTTTCCATTGTTTTTGACATTTTCAGTTCACATTGACGCTTCTAGAGGGACTATTTTAATTTGCTGAACAAGACTACACGAACACATGTCACTGCCTACCACTTCTCGGGGAACTAATCACTATGCACTTTCTCTTTATTTTTGTTACTTCTTAGACAATATTATGAGTCAATATTATAGCTAGAAAAAATAAATCATACAGTGAGATGTATGATGTTAATAAATGTATTTAAGATTTCTAGTAAAAGATAACTGATATGTCTAATGACATATTATCATTTGTTTGAAGAAGTAACCATTCTAGAACTATTTATACTTTTCTTCAATAATATCAATATGTTTATTACAACCTCCTTAAATTTTATCTCACTGACTTGAAAAAAAATGAGTGCATAAAAGGCAGTAATGTTTCGTTTTTGTGAGTGTGAGAGCAAAAAGGGGGTTTAAATTACATTAATAATGGTTACTTTAATGTATGATATTNATTTTGCATTTTAGTTGATATTCTATATCTGCTCCATCAAGATGGTAGATTACTGCCATCACCAAACAAGCTAAAAGTTGATGACACTGTCAAACGCAAACCCTCTATCTTTCTCCAACTTGGGTGTGTCTAAGAGAACTTCCCAATAAATTTTCCAGTAAAGAAAGATGCTTCCTGTACACAAAGCCTCAAAAGCGACTCTGGGAAAGGAGCAAGATGGATTACAAACTACTGGTGGGTACTTAAAATATTTATAAACAGATTAGAAGCATCGCAATGAGTATACAAAAATCTGAAGTTTAGAGAACAGAACCTGTAAACAAGTTGAAGAGCAATACCTCTGTTCGGCCAGGCATTATTGGCTTTCCAGAAAGCAGCTCTGCCAAGATGCAGCCAGCACTCCAAAGGTCAATACCCACACCATATAATGTAGCTCCAAGAAGAAGCTCGGGAGGACGATACCAAAGGGTCACCACTCTACTTGTCATTGCCTGTTTTATCTTGGGATCAAAAAAAGTTGCCAGTCCAAAATCTGCAATTCTAAGGATTCCTTCATTGTCTATAAGCAGGTTGGAACCCTTGATATCACGGTGCAACACGCCTCGACTGTGGCAATGCTCAAGACCAGAGAGTAATTGCTTCATAAAGCATTTAACCTGTCATAGAGAATATACTGAGAGACAAATCAGCCTTTCAGTAAGAGTTTTCCTTTTGCTTTTTAATATGAATGAGTCTATCCTCCTCCTAGTTCGTCAGAAATTAAAAAAGAATCATTGCTTCATACAACTCCACCAAGTACTAAATGCGACAATCACCATGAATCCAGAAGTACCCTTTAATGATTTAACATTCACATTGCAACAGTTAGCAACTTTAACTGTTAATTAACGCGCCTTATGTAACACCAAACCTTTGTTTTCCATTTAAACTAGGGGTAGACTTCAAATAAATATTATAATGTCTCCACAATAGCAAAATAATCAACCAGACCCTTCTCAACATGTACAAATTTAACGGTAGACTTGCTTTCTCATTGGATGGAAAGCAAAATTACTCCTAATTAAACAATACATTTACTTCATAGAGAGATATAATAAATGAATTTTCAAAAACACCGACATCAAAGAAGGGTGAAAACAAGAAAGCAAACATGCTTAAAATTGTACACGATACCCAACATCGCCTACAAAGCTCTAGGAGAAAGATAAAAACCCAACTTTTCCTTTTAAACCACAGAAAGGCCAAGCAAAAAGCCATGTCTCGAACAAAGCTCAAATCAAAATCAACAGTACCCAAGGTCTCAAACCCAGTTACATCTCCCATGCCCAATTTTTATGAAAACAAAAGCACTCGCAAAAATTCATTTAACAAGTAGCACACGGCTGCTTAAAATTGTGGTACCTGAGGTTCAGTGAACTTGACCCCTTGGCCAGCCGCAAGCCCTGCGAGATCATGCTCCATATACTCAAACACTAAATATAAACTGCACGACATTCTAGAAGTAACCAAACCCTCAAGCTTCACCACATTGGGGTGATCAAGCCTCCTCAAAACAAGTATCTCTCTTGCCATGAACTTCACACTCTCCGGCTCCAAATTATCAAATCTCACTTTCTTCAATGCCACAATCTTCCCCGTAACAAGGTCCCTAGCCTTATACACGTTACTATAGGTCCCTTGTCCAATCTGAACAACACGATCATAGGAAACAACACAAAAAACAACATTTACTAAAATAGATCCATTTTTCATTTTTTTATTAACTAATAAAACAAAAAGAAAAATACTTCACGAAAAGAGAAAATTAAAAAGTAAGAGTTTCTAAAAACCTTAGCAAGCTTCTCGAAAGTGTTGGCTCGACGAGGAGTCCAATCGCCGATTGCTTCGCCGGCGACGGCCATCAACCACGACGGCCATCCCTGCTGCGTGACAGCGCACGGGTCGAGTATAGGTTTCCGGCGCTCCAGCGCCGGAAGAGTCCCCGGAAAATCGCCGGTATGCAGGTGCCTTTCCTTATCTCGAACCCTAACGGCATTATTAACTTCTCCGGTAGCAACTTCCCGCTGCTCCCTCCGGCGACGGCGCTGAACTCCGGCACGCGCCGGCGTCCCGAGCACGCAACCCATCCCTCACGCGAGGCAGCTTACGGCGGCGGCAGAACACGGAAAACGCATGGAATGAAGGAAAAAAAGCAAACAAAAAACTAAGCAACCGCAATCCTCGTGATGATTGGCGGCGAGCGACGGCGGTTTCTGTCAAGAGCGAAGAGGGAAACGGTGAAGAAGGTTTAAGCTGGGTTGAAGAGTTTTCCGTAGATGTATGTGTTGTTGCGAGTGTGATGAAGGAGAAGTGAATAGGGTGCAGGGGAAGGGGATTGATTGTGTGGAACGCATGCAGGTTGAATAAACGACACAGCGCGTGGGTAAATAACGGAAATGCCACTGCGTCTGAAAGTCTGAGCTGGTATTGTCAGTTAAATGGTGGCTATGGAAGGAAGAGGCAGAAAGTCCAAAACGACACATCTTTGTGACGTCACTTATTTGAGACCGAAAAGGTCAAGGAGCTGCCATAAAAGTAAAAGGGGAAGAAATTTTTGCCTTTCTGTTCCGTGGAAAACAAGTTCCGCTGTTATTATCTTTTTCATTTCACTATATTTTTTTTTTTGCAATTCTCATTATTTGACTTTCCGGTTGGGACCAGTTATTGCCAGGTTTGAATTGATCTGAATTCCCAATTCAGATTTTAGGTGCAATGATTTAATTGCTTTCAACCAATGTATGATGAAGTTATTGGCTTCAATTCAATTCTCAAATTGAAATTTTTTGTCAAATCTTCTGACAAATGAAGTTTACTTCCACCCACCCTGCCCAACATAATAAATTGTGCCCCTGCATTCATTACACCTAACCCAGAAACTATATTTAGAGAGTGAGGAGTTCAAAACTTTTACATTTTAATATTTGGTCACCGGGTCAAGTGAAAGTTAAAATAAAATTATGAATTAGTCAATAAATGAAATAATAATAATAATAATAATAGTAATGGAATGTTAAAGCCATGTTTTGAAAGGTTTCCATTGTTTTTGACATTTTCAGTTCACATTGACGCTTCTAGAGGGACTATTTTAATTTGCTGAACAAGACTACACGAACACATGTCACTGCCTACCACTTCTCGGGGAACTAATCACTATGCACTTTCTCTTTATTTTTGTTACTTCTTAGACAATATTATGAGTCAATATTATAGCTAGAAAAAATAAATCATACAGTGAGATGTATGATGTTAATAAATGTATTTAAGATTTCTAGTAAAAGATAACTGATATGTCTAATGACATATTATCATTTGTTTGAAGAAGTAACCATTCTAGAACTATTTATACTTTTCTTCAATAATATCAATATGTTTATTACAACCTCCTTAAATTTTATCTCACTGACTTGAAAAAAAATGAGTGCATAAAAGGCAGTAATGTTTCGTTTTTGTGAGTGTGAGAGCAAAAAGGGGGTTTAAATTACATTAATAATGGTTACTTTAATGTATGATATTTTTAGTGTATGATATTAACATCTTTCACTTTAGAGTGGTGATTTGAGAAAAAGAAATTGGATGAATTTAAGAGTAGATTGTATATTTTTTTTAATAGATTTTGAGGTGATTGAAAGTGGATTTGAAAATAAAATTTGAATAGGATTTGATCGAAGATAAAAAAAATTAATTGATAGAAAATAAAAATTAATAAATATCCTTAATAATAATGTAATAGAAAATTATATTTATTAATAACATATTTATTAATAAAATAAATTTTAAGTATTAAAAAACAAAAAAAAAATAATAAAAGTAAAAAAAATTAAGTAAAGTGAAATTACTTTTCTTAAATTTCACCCACACAAAACATTATTACAAATAATCCTATACAAAGTATAGTTTTCCTAATCATATATTTACAATCAAGAAAAAGGATGGGGTCTTTGTAATTACCCATGTTGTAGTTCTGTTATTGGTTTCCATCATACTCTTTTTTTTAAAAAACAATTTATCCTCAAATTGAAAAGATATCTAAAGAACCGTAACTTTAACTTTTTATCTCCTACTAGATCAAAGATTTACCTATAATAACTATCAAACAATATTTGAATAAATTTTGTACTAAAGTAAGAACATATCTAAAGTAAAGAACAAAAGACTAAGGCTTTTTTGTATTTTTAAAATGATTTTCTTTAAGAGTAATAAGGCCTACTTCACAAAACTGTTTTTGTACATCCTGATTTATGTGTAACTTGTTAGGCAACAATAAATCAAAGTATAATTTTTCAAAATCTATTGAGGAGTTTAAAACAATAATAAGTAACAATAGAGTAAAAAATTTCAAAAGTAAAGGTTGAATTATTGATGACATGAGAAAAGTTAAAAGATTCAAAAACTCCATTTTATCTCTCATTTTCTTCCCTCTCGATTTCTCTTATCTCAATTTCTTCTTTCTCTTTTATCTCTCCTTCTTTTTTCTTCTATCATTTTCTTCTTTCTCTTTCTTTTCACTCTCCTCCCTTTCTCTTCTCCCATTTTCTTCTTTCTCTTTCTTTTCTATCTCCTCCTTTTCTCTTCTAGCTTCTCCTCTCTAACTTTTATGACTTCTTCAACTCTATCTCTTGGAATTTCCTCTTCTCTAGCTCTAAAAGCTTCCCCTTCTTTAACTCTTTTGGATTTTTCAACTCTAGCTCATATAATATCCTCTTCTTTAACTCTTAGAGTTTTTGTAAGACAGGGGAAATTAATACTATACTATGTATAAGTTAGTCACTGGAAAATCTATTGTTTATGAATTAAGGTTATCTTTCATAAGAACCATGTGGTTTAAATGGTTAGAGCTAGTTGTGGTGGGTAAAGATCACGTGTTCTAATCCTAGTTGGTACAAATAATGTTTGATTTGTTTTATAAATGTTTTATTTTTTATATGTGCGATAGAGTATTAATTAAATACTTGTTAATTGGTAATATAATCAAAATGAATGAGTTGGAGTAGTGGTAAGGTTGTGTGGTATATTATGAGTGGTATGTGTGATGTTGGACTCCAACCTTGGGAAGACCAAAAATGTTTAAATTTCCTTTTTGGTTTATTTTTCCTTTTTCCCTTGGCTAAGTACAAGCGAGTAGTGAGAAACTCTAAATCCCATTGAGATGATGGTTGGGCCAATTCTTTCTTCCTCTTTACTTCTTCCTTCTAAGTTAGTGGAGTGGTGGTGGATGGCTCTTCTACTAAGGAAGCTATTTTTTATATTTATAACAAAGCTATTGTTTCTTGCACATATATAGCAAATGTTACCAATGAGGAGCATTGGTAGCTTGAAGCTACTTTGAAGTTTTGATGATGATAAAAGTTGAAGAATTGAAGACTCTAAGTGCATCTTTGTTAAACGCATTTTGTAGAATCAAATTTATATTATAAATTTTAATGATGTAAAAACTCTTAGAAGTTTTCTTATTTAGTGAGTCATTTTGTAAATAATCGTTTATCAAGAGTGATAATCGATTATCACGAGCCAATTTAGAAAAGAGTTGCTCGCGCAAATAATCGATTATTACATAGAATAATCGATTATCACTGTTTCATTTAATATTGTCCAAAGTCTTTGGAATAATCGATTATGCCTCAGGATAATCGATTATCACATTTTGAAAACCCCATAACGGACACAAATAATCGATTATCACTTACGATAATAGATTATTTGTGGCAGTTGGGAGATGTCTTTTCAGTTTCTGACTATAAATAGATTTTTCCACAACTCTTAAAACTGAACTTTTCAATTGAGAGTATCAGAGCTTTGTGTCTAAGGGAAGCTCTCTGTGAATGAAAAGGATCTATGCCATTTTGAGAATAATACAGTTTGTCTGAGGAAGTTCTCAAAGTGATAGAGTGCTCTGGCCTGGTCTTGTGAATAGGAGAAGCTCGCGCTTTGTGTGTCAAAGGTCAGAGCGGTTCTCTTCAAGTTGGCAAAGCTGTTGCTTCCAGTTCGTGCGTCGAAGGAAGCTCTTCTGATTCGTTTGTCGAAGGAAGTTACTTGTTGCACTCTTCTGGTTCGTTTTTCGAAGGAAGGTGTTTTCTATTCTTTGCTCATTTCATTATCTTGTAATCTGTACAACTATATTTTTAGTGAAAAAGGTTAATCACTATTTATAGTGATTAANGCGGCGAGCGACGGCGGTTTCTGTCAAGAGCGAAGAGGGAAACGGTGAAGAAGGTTTAAGCTGGGTTGAAGAGTTTTCCGTAGATGTATGTGTTGTTGCGAGTGTGATGAAGGAGAAGTGAATAGGGTGCAGGGGAAGGGGATTGATTGTGTGGAACGCATGCAGGTTGAATAAACGACACAGCGCGTGGGTAAATAACGGAAATGCCACTGCGTCTGAAAGTCTGAGCTGGTATTGTCAGTTAAATGGTGGCTATGGAAGGAAGAGGCAGAAAGTCCAAAACGACACATCTTTGTGACGTCACTTATTTGAGACCGAAAAGGTCAAGGAGCTGCCATAAAAGTAAAAGGGGAAGAAATTTTTGCCTTTCTGTTCCGTGGAAAACAAGTTCCGCTGTTATTATCTTTTTCATTTCACTATATTTTTTTTTTTGCAATTCTCATTATTTGACTTTCCGGTTGGGACCAGTTATTGCCAGGTTTGAATTGATCTGAATTCCCAATTCAGATTTTAGGTGCAATGATTTAATTGCTTTCAACCAATGTATGATGAAGTTATTGGCTTCAATTCAATTCTCAAATTGAAATTTTTTGTCAAATCTTCTGACAAATGAAGTTTACTTCCACCCACCCTGCCCAACATAATAAATTGTGCCCCTGCATTCATTACACCTAACCCAGAAACTATATTTAGAGTGAGAGTTCAAAACTTTTACATTTTAATATTTGGTCACCGGGTCAAGTGAAAGTTAAAATAAAATTATGAATTAGTCAATAAATGAAATAATAATAATAATAATAATAGTAATGGAATGTTAAAGCCATGTTTTGAAAGGTTTCCATTGTTTTTGACATTTTCAGTTCACATTGACGCTTCTAGAGGGACTATTTTAATTTGCTGAACAAGACTACACGAACACATGTCACTGCCTACCACTTCTCGGGGAACTAATCACTATGCACTTTCTCTTTATTTTTGTTACTTCTTAGACAATATTATGAGTCAATATTATAGCTAGAAAAAATAAATCATACAGTGAGATGTATGATGTTAATAAATGTATTTAAGATTTCTAGTAAAAGATAACTGATATGTCTAATGACATATTATCATTTGTTTGAAGAAGTAACCATTCTAGAACTATTTATACTTTTCTTCAATAATATCAATATGTTTATTACAACCTCCTTAAATTTTATCTCACTGACTTGAAAAAAAATGAGTGCATAAAAGGCAGTAATGTTTCGTTTTTGTGAGTGTGAGAGCAAAAAGGGGGTTTAAATTACA